TGAGTAATTCGTCTCATTTCGTCATAACTTCAAACCATGGTAAATGACCCTGATTTAAGACGCTTCGTTTAACTTAAAAAAGGTCAATAATCTTAATCTCAGACAAAAATAGTATATATAAAAAAAGAGACTAAAAAAGGCTTAAATAAAAGCGTTGAAAGAGTGATTAGAGATAGCTGTACTCCGTTCCCGCGTTTTCCCGCCAAAATCATGGACATCATCGGTCATTTGCAGTAGGGTGGGGAGGGAGAGGCATAAAAATTCGTAAGGCGGTCGAACCTTGGGGTCAAATGAAATTGAAATTAAGGAAATTTTATGATTATTGAGCAAAAAATAGATAAAGAATAAAATCAACCCTAAGTCGCTCTATTTCTTAATAGAAGGCTTTTCCCTCGAGAATTGATCGCTTTTCGTAATCTAGAAGGGTATCCTTGTGAAGTCTGTTCAGAAAATAGCGAGGTTACAAAGTTGTCAAGATGGCGGATGAAGGATTGAAAGTGCAAATGAGTATTCGCCAAAATGCTGAAGAATTGCAAGACATGCTGAAGGAGTTGAACAGTTGGCAGGATGAAATGAAAATCAAAGATGAAGATCTTCGAAATTCAAAGACAGTAACGAAAAAGGTTCGTGTAGGAAGCGTGCTTCGGTTAGAAAATCTCTTTTAATGCAGTCTTAAGTACATGATTATCGCTGTATCAGAATAGCTACCAACATCTTCGTAACGAAGGATTAGAAACTCTACATCCCTAAAACCGTAGAAATATGCATACATTTTTTATATAATTAATATTTAACGCTCTACAACCTGCATGTCACATCCCTGCCTCTCCTAATAAGATGACTTCAACTCGCTCTTTCATTTGTTTACCTAAGTAACCCTTGCCCTATATGGTATAAAGCTTCTCACAAGTGCTTCCATCCTGAATTTTTTTCAGTTTTGTTTTTGTTTTCGTTATTTTAATCAGGTAGTCAGAGTCAAAATAAAACTGTGTACAGTGCATATCAACCTCAAAAACTGTACTCCCAAGATCTGACTGTTAATTCTTCCCTCTCTCTTCTACACATTTCCTTGTTACTTAGTTACAAGAATTTGGTATTAGATCGAGATAAAAACTTACATGTGATAAGTTTAAACATTCTCACTACCTGTTTGCTGGATAATGTATGAATATTATAGGGAGAATTTACTTGTTAATCACTTCTGGGAGTTGATGGTCGAACAATTTTACCTAATGTGACCACATAGTTGGTCGTGAAGTGTGATCACCTTTGTAGGAACATTGACAGTGAGAGATGTTTCGATGACTTGAGAGGATGTTACAAATCCATATTTCCCCTAATTTTAAGAATATATTGATGATCAATTATTCATACCATTTACTTTGTGCAATAATTTGGAATCCATGCACAGTGTATGCAAACATACGGGTTGCTATTGACCATTAATTTTACATTGTGTGCTGCAGAACCTTCCTCCTGTAAGGAATCAAGCCAAGAGAAAGAAGAAGAAAAAGAGAGATTCTGACAGAGAAAAACCAGAAGTTGGAACAAGAATAAGCTCCTATGACTACAGATCATGGGATAAATTTGATGTTGTAAGTATTAATTTAAAACTGTCAGCAGTTGGTTTTGGTAACAGTGTATTACTTGCCATTGAGTGTGTGTGCAAGAGTTATTTTTGTTTTGGTTTCATAAATTGAAATCAAGCAACTCTGTGTCAAATGACAATTATTAGTTGTCTGAACCCTTTAACTCCCAAAAGTGATTAGCATGTACTTTCTCCCAATAATATCCATAGATTATCTAGCACACAGGTTATGAGAATACTTAAACTTATCAGGTAGAAGTTGTGATCTTACACCAAATTCTCACATCTAAGTTACAAGGAAATGTGTAGGAGCTGGAAGGGAGAATTAACAATCAGATCTTGGGAGTGAAAGGGTTAAAATGAATGTGAACATGTATTTATTTGCTATTTGATGTACTCAATTAATATTCAACGGCTCCATCAGGATAAAGTGTTAAAAGACATGGATGAAGCAGATGAAATGAAGACATTTTCCAGTTCTGAAGAAGAGAGTGAAGACACTGATGAAGATCTGGAAAATGAGCAAAGATTGCAGAAGGCACTTCTTGAAAAGGACAAGGTAAGATTTGAGTATGTCTGCTAATAACATGGTCTTTTAAAATGAATCCATATATACTCTTAAAGGAAAGCAAACTGAGCCACTGAGTCCTTGTATTAGAGAATACCAAAATGCCTTGTAAATCAAAAATGACAATGTCAAAGATTTCTGAATTGTCAAGCCATACATACATGTATGTATTTAATCATATGGATACTAAGTATGTAGATTGGAACATTTGGATGACTTTTTGTCAGTTTGGTGATGAGGTCAACAGGCTATGTATCAAGGAAAGGAAGTTAAAAAGTTTGATACTTTTGTACCTTGGATATTTTCCTTTGTGTTACCAGTAGTGTTAGTTGTCTCATCTTGATTACAATATTAAGAAAATCTTTATTCTTGATACCTGTGACAATTTCTGTGGGAATGCTCTTTGGAAGGATTCCCCACCAGAAATTACAAATAACAAAACTAAAAGAAAATATTAAAAATGGATACATACAATGGTTATATGATTTAAAATCTAGAAGGAGGAACAAAAATTAGAACCTAAGTTTTGAATAATAAAATAATTATCTTGTGGCCCTTGTTATACCCTCTACGAGAATTGGATTGTTTCAACTGAATGTGTTGTTTTGTATTCACAGTCATTTCTCCTCCCAATAGCATACTAACTTACTTAAAGATTAACAGGTAGAATCATATCAAACTTTATTTCTTGATTTTACTGAACTTTTGTTTACATGCGCATCTACAGGGAAATGCACTTTTTAAGGAGGGTAAATATGAAGCAGCCATTAACTGCTACACAACTGGAATTCAGTTTGACCCAACAAATGCTGTACTCCCAGCCAACCGGGCAATGTGTCTTCTAAAATTGAAAAGGTTAGTCTTTTCTCTCAAAAGACTATTTCTTTTAAAGTGATATGAACAGATGAGCTGTAAGGTCACTGTACATAGGGCAGTGACTAGAGAAATAATTATGATGATAATGATAATTATATCAATGACACCAGAACTGGTAATGATGAATTTACCTTGACATTGACTGAGACAGTGATAGTGATAATCATGATGATGATAATGATGATGATAATGATGGTCATAATGTTGAAAATTAGATTTAAGAATTAAAAGTAAACAAGCAAAATCGAAAATATTTTTAAAACCCCACCCTTATCCTTGAGAGCATACATTTACAAATGGTGTTCTTCTTATCAAACTCTGAATCTTATTTATTACAATTTATTTACAGATACGGGGCTGCTGAAGCAGACTGTAGCCAAGCCTTGTCCCTGGATGCTTCATACACAAAGGCTTATCTGAGAAGAGGAGCGGCACGCTTTCAGCTTGGAAGGGTGAAAGAAGCTGAGGCTGACTATAAAGATGTACTGAGACTGGAGCCAAGCAACAAGCAGGCTCAAGAGGAATTGAAAAACATAGCTAAGGTAATGTGCTCTTGGTAATATAATTTTCAGATTCCCTGATATGCATAGGATGGCATACATGGGGTTTCGTAAGGGTCCTGGAAAACCTGGAGAGTCCTGAATTTTTATTTTGGAAAGTCCTGGAAAAAGACTACAGGTCCCAGTCAGGTATGGAAATCAGCTGTAAGAGATCCTCACAGCTATATGGCAGATATATGGCCTGAATTTTTTTCAGGTCCTATTTTCAACTACTCGTTTCAAAATCTTTATTTACTTTAAGGTTTTTTTTATTCAGCTGTTGAATGAAAAGAGAAAGCAAACAAAAGTTGAAGAAAAGTCACCAAAAAATGAGGAAGATAAAAAATTGCCCACAAAATCCAAGGTGAGAAAGAACCTAAGAAAAGCTCAGAAAACTTTGACCTCTTCAATATGATTTTGTCAAGTCAATAATTGTATAATGGCTGATTACAATAAAGATCAGCATGCAATGAAACTTCAATACCATATACAAATTGATGTAATGGAGGAGATAGCTGTAAGTTGTTGTTAAGTTAAGCAGTTTTCTGACTGACTTGCAGTAAAGCGAGTGAGCTATGGAGTTTAATATTCTTTTTTCTCAGTCCCCAAGAGCTTGTCCTTTAGATCATCAATTATTAGTGCCAGGCAACCTTATTATTTCTTATATAGAAATGCTCAATAGAACGTTTGTGGGAACTGAGTAGGTTACCTTGCCTTCTAAAGTTATGAAAACTAGAAACTTCCTAGAAACGTCTTTGACTGGAAGAAGGTCACGTCTCCTTTTTCCTCTGCTTACAAGGGGCACTATTTCAATGTATTGGTATATCAAACAGGGATAAAATTCCTAGTTAACCCTTTTCACCCTAACATTCGTTTGCATATTCTCTATACTGTTCTGTATACATTTCCTAAGGTGCTGACAAGGAGAATTTGTTTGACAATTATGAGATCCTTTAGTTGATAATCATTTGCTTTATTCCCGTGGCCTTAATATGTGAATCAGAGGTGATGTTGTAAGGAGAAATTAGATGCTTGTCACTCTTAGGGGTTAAAAGGTAAAAAGAGTCGGGTTTTCACGAGTTTAGGATTGAAAAAGGATAAGAAAAAAATCTGTCAGTTGCACAGGCACTGGCAGTACTGTCTTGTTAAGGAATCGTATCACAGAATCACTGCAGTTTCGAAATAGCTCATCTCCTATCATACAACAAGTGTCTGTTTTCTCCTCAGAAACCCCTTAAAAGGATTGTCATCGAAGAGATTGGAACAGAAAGTGACAGTGACCATGAAGAGAGTACGGCCAAAGTTTCAACCAGAGCTCAAATA